CGGCACGTGCCTCTTGCACCTTCAGCTCCACATAACCTGGCCGTCGTGAGCTCCGGGCTTTTTCGATCCCCTAAACCCTAAACCCTAAACCCTAAACCCTAAACCCTAAATCCTAACCCTAAATCCTAAACCCGAGAACGGGACCTCCCCGAAGCCATACACCCCAAACTTCGGTAGCCAGTAGGAGAACTTGAAGCTTTTGGGCGCACATGTGGGTGGTTCTCTTTTCCTTAGGGTCCCCTTTAGGCTCCTTTTCGTAAGGGTGCCATACCATATCGGGGAGCCAAAAAGGCGGTAGATGGTGTAGCTTTGAAAGCTTGAGCATTGTCGGGCCGGATCATTTCGAAAAGAAGAGAGTAAGCCCAACTAAGGACAGTCTACATTCAGGGAGAGGGTTTTAGGAGTTAGCGTTTAGGGGCTATTTAGGGTTTGGGTTTAGGGTTTAGGGTAGGGGTTTACCCTAAACCCTAAACCCCTAAGCCCCTAAACCCCTAAACCCCAAAACCCTAAAGTTTAGGGGTTTAGGGCTTAGAGTGTAGGGCTTAGGGTTTAGTGCCTAGCTAGGAAGGAGTGTGCAACGCCTGCTCCTTATCCCAAAAACTGCGATAACACATGGGTAGTTCCCTAAAGTAGGGTCCCTGTTTGGAATCCTTTTTTTAAAGGTGCCGTATTCTATTGGGGACCCAAAAAGCGGCCCTAATTTAGAGCACTACCGACATTGCAGTTGAAACACCAGCCAGAAATCGATCAGCAGCTGTTGGTCTTCCATGTAGTTATAGTTCCCCAGACCCCAAACCCTAAACCCCAAACCCAAAAACCCCAAATCCCAAACCCCAAACCCTAAACCGTAAACCCTAAACCCCAAATCCCTAAACCCCAAATCCCTAAACCCTAAATCCCTAAACCCTCTCATGTCCTCTGGAAGCCTCAAGGGGCCAGTCTCTGAAACCCAAAAGCTTCTTTTCCTTTTGAAATCCGAGGTGATGGCTTTTGGGATTCAGGGGTTTAGGGGTTCGGGTTTGGGGTTTAGGGGTTTAGGGGTTAGGGTTTAGGGTTTGGGGTATAGGGGCTTAGAGTTTGGGGCTGCCTACTTGGGATGTCAGGTCTCTAACTCGCGTTCGAAAGCAAGGCAGCTGGTAGAACGTTGCTCGAGCACTCCTGCCAACAGGATGATCTGTAACTCGGGAGTGACAGACCCTAAACCCTAAACCCTAAGTCCTAAACCCTAAACCCTATAACCCTAAACCCTAAAACCCTAAACCCTAAGCCCTAAGCCCTAAACCCTAAACCCCGGCCAAGGAAGCAAAGTATGCAGACTTCGTGTCGTCCATGCAGGCAGTGCGGCCGGAAACGGTGCGAGGTATCCGACTGGGCAAGGTCTTGCATCATGGGCCCTGGCTATGGTGGCATGGGCGTCTGAAAGACATGTACAGGTAGGGTAGGGTTTAGGGTTTAGGGTTTAGGGTAGTGCCCTGTCTCCGTGCTGGAGGTGTCGTAGCTTAAATTTCTGTAATTGGGCCAAATCCTAAACTCTTATACCACGAACGCTAAGCCGCTAAGCGCTAAACCCTAGGCCCTAAACCCCAAGCCCGAAGCAGTTAAACCCCAAGCCAAACCCTAAACCGTAATCCCCAGGCACAGCGAAGTGGCGAGCAATATTGATATGTTTGTGTCACACAGCTGGCAAACACCTGCATGGAAGAAGTACCTCAACTTACTCATCCTGCGACACAAGGCTGTTCAGTGGTCTACAATTTGTTTTTTGTTTTGGGTTTCGCATTGCCATTAACCCACCAAACAAAATCCTTTTTCTTTTTCCACTGGGCCTTAGGAAATGGGCTGCCGGCCATGGTCTTGGGAACGCTGGGTGCAAGTGTAGCCAATGTTTTGTCTCAGCATCTGATCCTGCCACCTTTGGAAGTTTTGGGTGGTGGCTGGTGCCTGCTGTCTGGGTGCCTCATCTATTACTTGACCTTGCTCAGGTGGAGGCCCAGGACCATACTTTTCTGGGACAGTGCCTGCATAAATCAACACGACCCACTATTGAAAGCAGAGGGTCTTGCCAGTCTGGGTGCTATACTGAAGCAGTCCAAGACTCTATTGGTGCTTTGGGATCAAACGTTCGTGTCCAGGCTTTGGTGCATGTTCGAAATGGCAGCTTACTTGCACGGCCGAGCGGACAGTTCGGCAAGTGTGACTGTGCGCTCACCACTAGCCGGAGTCCTTGTGCTCTCTGTGCATGCCAGCTTGTGCATGATCACTTTCCTGTACTTCTTGCCTGCAGATTCCTTCTTCGAGCCGTCCCAAACTATGGTAGTCATTGCTTGCTTAGCATTGCCGGGTATCCTGTCTTTTAGCTTCGTGATAAGCACTGTCCGCGCATACTGGCGAGACATCGACACGATGGAGCAGCACATGTTGAGTTTTGCATTGGACAACAGCAAATGCGTGTCCTGGCGTGTGGGGGAGAAATATCCAATTGTTGTTTGTAGTTCAGTCGTTTCCAGTTTTCACCTTTCAAGTTACGTTATGCGAATCTAGAGTTATGCGAATCTAGAGACCAAGCCCAGGCGTGCTGTTCTCCAGAGCAGACGGATGTCTGCAACAAGCGTGTCTGCGACCGCAGGATCATGAAAACCTGCATAGAGAATTGGTTTGGGCAGGTGTCGAGTTTCGAGAGCCGGATTCGATCGGAAGAGCGTATAGCTCTTGCTGATAAGCTGCGGAACCATCTTATCGTATACTTCGAGATACTAGCTGGCACTTTGGGAAACCTTTTGATTTCCCGTATGCTCTTGTAGAGGCATCTGTTCACGAATCATTTTGACGGGCGCTTTCACTACCCTAAACCCTAAACCCTAAACCCTAAACCCTAAACCCTAAACCCTAAACCCTAAACCCTAAACCCTAAACCCCAACCCCTGAACCCTAAACTCTAAGCCCCGAGCCCTGCACCCTGAAGCCTAACCCTACCTAGGACCTAGACCCAAAAAAGACTACCTGTTTAAGTACCTTATATAAGGAAATCAGAATGAAATAAACCCTAAACCCTAGACCCTAGAACCCTAAACCCTAAGATAGCCCAGGATGGTCTTGGCGGGATCACCTTTAATTTGGTCCGGCTTGGAGTTGCTTTTACGGGTTCCACCAGACTCTTGGCCGCAGCAGCGCCGTCGGAGTGATTTTTTGGACGCACGGTTTATGATACAAATCCTGCGTCACCCATAATAAGGAATAGACCATAATTCGCATAGTTT